AATTTTTAACTCAGATTTCACACATGATCAACTCAATCAATATTCAACACGTCAACACTCACAGTCTGGTCAAAGTGTCTCTAACATGTCAAAAAAAAAAAACAACTCTATAATGACTAGAATGGTCCAAAATGACTTAAGTTTATCCAATGTGACAAAAACTTCTCCATAATAACACAAAAAATTGTTCAAAATCACTCAAGATCTGGTCAGAATGTCTCAAAATTTGTCAAACGTGTCAAAAAAAGTTTCCAAACTAACTCAAAACTTGTCCAATATGACATAAACTTTGTTTTTTTTAAAACTGTAATCTCAACAAACAAGAAAAAAGCTTAAAAATGACTTAAAATCTTGTCCAAAGTGACTTGAAATTTGTCCAATACGATGGAAACTTGTCCAAAACAACCTGAAAACTGTCTAGAAATGACTCCAAAATTGTCCAAAATCCAACTTTTTTCACACTGTTGTGGTGAAAACACAAACATCAGCAGCTTCATAGACGCTCAAACCAACACTCAGAGCTCAGATAAAGTGATTTAAACCTCACGTTTCCTCATTCTGATGTCTGAACATGAACTGTTTCTGCGGGAGTTTCTCTGCTGTCACATTATTGGACAATCACCTGAATCAACAGGTGAGTGACGGCAGCTCTTTTAATAAAAATCAGCGAAATTGAAGGTTTTTGGAGCATTCGGTGAATCGAAGCAGCTGAAGGAAGCCGACGGAGCTCTTGGAGAAGATTTTAAAGCCCAGGAGGCTCATAAACATGACGCTTAAGGGTGGATGTTAACTTCTGCAGGCATGTGAGGCTTCCTGTCTGCAGGACTCCGGTTCGTCCAGCAGGGCGCAGCGTGGAGCCGCAAACCTGCAGCTTCTCAGATTAAAACGACTAAACATTCCTTCTTTGTCATTTCTGGTATTACATCCTGCAAAATAGCATTTATCCAAAGTAATGAGCTCACATTGTACCGTTAACATCAAACTTAGAGTGTTTAACGATAAAACAAGTCAAATTATGAAGCAAACTGTAGCGAATAAACAAGACAGTTTAAGGAAGTGTTTGTTCTTTCTCATTATTGTTAAAGACAGAGCATTCAAGATAACAGCTGTTGTGTCCTTCGGTTACTTATTTATGGTGGATTTCACCCGAGAAACGTCCACATTAAGGATTAAAATCTAGACTTTGCCTGACTTTAATCCAAATTAAAGCCGAGAGCCTCCGGTGTTTTAAATTATGGAGGACAACCTGACTGATATAATAATATAGCTATGTTCCTACAGGATTTTAAACTGCAGAACTTAATCTAATATAAATATTAACGTTGAGACTCTAATTACAGAACACAGCCTCAACAATAAAGAGCTGAAGTTGTAGAAATAAAGACACATGAAAACCCGACAAATCCAAGGATTCAGTGGATGTCCTGTGAGCTCGTTTCAGGTTTTTTATTGTATAATATTGGATGTATAGCAAACTGTGTGTCCAACATGTAAAAAAATAAAATAAAATTACTCTTCAATGCTACTGCGGTCCATTTAAATGCTGCTTTTGTTGTATTTTTATTCTTTTATGTCAGAAAAACAAATGAATATTGAACATATAATAACTATATTTGTATAGAACCTTTTAAAAACAAACTCAAGGAAACAAATCAGACAAATACTAAACTCAAATGAATAAATGAGGCCCTGAGTTTGTAAAACAACAACATAAAATAGTTTGTTTCTATAAAGCACATTCAAGACAACAACCTTCAATTCATTTGATTTTTAAACCTCTACATTTGCATCCACAAAATCAGTGTTTAAGAACAAAAGAAAAAACAAGAAGGGTTTTTGGTGAAGTTAGACGACAACAGGAACCAAATTATCTTATTAACAAATGTTCATCTATAAATAAAAGGAACATTTAAGGCATTAATTAGTGTCAAAGATCCAAACACACATTTACACAAAATCTGCAAGGTGTCTCGGTGGTTAGCACCGTCGCCGGTTCGCGTCCCGGTGAGGACACCCGGGATCTTCCTGCGTGGAGTCTCCATGTTCTCCCCGTGCAGCGTGGGTTCTCTCCGGGTTCTCCGGCTTCCTCCCACAGTCCAGAAACATGCTGAGGTTAATTGGTGATTGTAAATTGTCCATAGGTGTGAATGTGAGTGTGCTTGGTTGTCTGTCTCTAAGTGTAGCCCTGTGATAGACTGGTTACCTGTCCAGGTGAACCTGCCTTCACCCTGAGTCAGCTGGGATAGACTCCAGCCCCCCATGACCCTGGTGAGGATTAAGGTGTAGAGATGATGGATGGATTATAGAATGCAACTGCTGAGATTAAATACAAATAAAATGCAGCAACATTACAGAAACGTAACAATCATGTTTATCTGTGTACAAAACCTCAGACTAATTTTATTGTGAATTTCAAAACTTTGTATATAAGAAATCCATCTCCTGCTTTCATGTGGTCTTTGCAGTTTAAACATCAGACCACAGAGAGGAGTTCTCATCCTCACGTCAGTTTACAGATCTCGGCCGTGGCTCCTTCAGAATAAAGCCAGAGTCCGGCGTGCAGCGGTTCGGTGAACGTGGTCTGGACTCTGTGGAGGAGAGTCGTGGTGTCGGAGACGCTGTAGAAGGACAGAACGCCGGCGCTGTGGTCCAGGTAAACGCCGACCCTGCGGGACCGAAGATCAGCGAAGGAAGCCGGACTCTTGTTGTGGAAGACCTCGTAGCCGTGCCGGGAGCACTCCAGAGCCCAGGACCTGTCGTTGAACCCAAACTCACACTCCTCCGAGTTCCCTGCCCGCCGGATGCTCTTGTAGGCAACGGCGACGGAAACCCCTTCCTCCGTCCACTGGACCTCCCAGTAGCACCGGCCGGTCAGACTCTCCCTGCTCAGAACCTGACAGCAGTCGGTGAATCTGTCCGGATGGTCCAGATAGAGCTGCTCCTGTTTCATCACTGTAGCTTTTCTGTCTCCGTCAGATAGAACCAGGCATGTGCTTGCTGTGTTTGGATCCAGGGTGATCTCACGTGAATACTTTAAAAGTTCAGCTCTGCTCTTTGGTTCTGACGGTGAAGCTTCAGGTCCAGAAATCTTCAGCTCCTCCACTAAAGCTGCTAACATGGTGTTTACCTCCAAGTCGGGCCTCGGTGTGAAGGTCTGTCCACACTGAGGGCAGCTGTAGGTTCTCTCTCCATCCCAGCGGGCTTTAACACACTTCAGGCAGTAGTTGTGTCCACAGCAGAGACTCACCGGATCCGTCAGCAGATCCTCACAGATCCCACAAGAGAGCTTCTCTGAGTGCAGCTGATCCACTCTCTGAGCCATTTTCTCCTCTGAGCGAGGTTCACTTCCTTAGTCTGAGCTCTGATCTCCACATCAGGTGTTCCTGCAGTGAACGAGGAACACTAACGTTGGTTCCACCCGTCACAGTGCAGATCTGCAGGGGAGGGAACCAGGAAATAAGAGGACAGGAAGAGGACGGACACTCTGTGGGTTTAACCCTTTATTTGACGGAGCTCATTTTACATTTAAAGAAAGTACATTTTACCTCCACTTTTAGATTGTCAGCCGTTTAAAAAGTTTCTCATTTAGGTCAGTTTAATTAATAACCTTAAGTAAAAGGCTGTTTTATCTTCCTTCTTTCTGCTGCTCTTGTGGATTCTATCAACATGAAATGGCAATTTGTCCTTTTTAACTGTTGTTCTAATTTCAGCAATAATTATGTTTTACTGTTTTTTGTTGTTGTTGCTGTTTTTTATTAGCACTGTGACTTCATGACATTTCTTCAAAGTTTTCTGCTGCAACTCATGTGCACTTCTAGTCGGATTACACAGCAAAGAGGACGAAATAACAGAAAGTCTAACATTTGGGTAAAGCAAATGTTTAAGATTGGAAGCTTCAAGTTTATTTTCCTTGAAGTTATTCACTGTTGTCATTTTTTTATTTTTTTTTAAAATCTCCATATCAGGTATTGTAATGTAATTACTCTGTTTAAACCTTATTGTATCATTATATGAACATATACATTTAACAAGAATATCAAATTAAATCATACAACGTCTCTAACCAAGCTCACCATCAGTTTCTACCACTGCTAAAATCCTTTTGCCTTTCATTCACATTTATTTCTGAAGCGCTTAATTTATGCCCAACACTGTAAAACGACCAGAACCAGCTTCAAGTTAAAAAAACATCACATTAACAAATACTTAACAATCAACAGATCCAGCACATACGGGCATCACAGGGTTAAAACAGGAAGTCACTCGTTACCAGGCAACCAACTCTGCGGCTAACGCTAACACTCAGCTAGCAGCAATAATCCTCCACAGAAACAGTCTCTGTCAGTGAAAATTAAAAAAAGAAAGAAAGAAGAACCCTCCTCCGTCTTACCAGCTGCCTCTCTGGGCGTTTCAGCCCCAAACTTTCAAGAAAACTGCTTCTTTTCCCGCCGCAGTGTCTGTTAGCACCGCAGCAGCTTCGCTTCCGATCCGCTTCCGCTACCACACTGTCCGTCCCTTTTAATGATCCGGACGGCGCTCCTGCAGTCTGTGCAACAGTTCCGTCCTTTCAGAAGTGGCTTTTTGACGTTTGTTTACTTACTCATGTCTCTTCTATTACAACAATTTATGCAGTTCATTTTCTTCAAATAGTATTTTTAAGCTCTTCTTCATCGGGCTGCATGATTTTCTAGAAACTCCAGTATGACTTCGCAATTAGGATGCTTTCCAGAAAATGTAAGTTATGAAATATTCACAGTTTGTAGAGTCACCAGTTATTCCAGTGTTGCAAACACATGTGGACTGTTAGAATGTTGTAGATGCTGATTCCATTTTTTATTTTTATTTTCAAATGTTGTAAATATAAATAAAATAGAAATTCAACTGTATTTTTAACAACTAATGTACATAATAATCCTTTTTTTAAAATTAGTTTTTGTCATGTTAGCAGTTTAACGTTACAGATTTGCACTTTAATACTGAAACCTTTGTTTGTGATTCATACTGTTCTGCCATATGCAATGACATGCAGTTTGTCAGAGTAAAATGAACTAAATAAAATTATCTTTTTTAAATCCATTGTTTAATCAATGAATTTGCAAATATAATAATACTTTTGATGGGTTTTGCACATGCTTTGGAATTGTTGGGTATCTCTATATAAATTTTTGCAGGGTTTTCAGGTTACTATGTGTTGTATGTTGTAAATTGACATGTAAATGAATTGAATTGACTGTAAATATTTGTCATTAAACATTAAAAAGCCAAGGATACACGTGTGCTCATATGAAATTAAGACTAAAAATGTATTTTAACTGTGTAAAATTATTGTATTTTAATAGATGGTTATTTTCTGTTGAAGCACAGGTTTGTTGTGGTTCTTTTCTCACCTTTCTCACAGTTTTTGATCTTTTATTGTCACTCCATAACCAGACTGATATCCCCTCAAATCTATTCATTAACTTATTAATTCTTGTTGTTTTGCTCGCCTTTAATGAATTACGTTTTAGTATGAAAACAATGACGCAATTTTATACATTATTTACTTTGATTTGAAACATTGATTATTCCTGCGATGTTGCTTCCTGCTCCGCGGCCTTTATTTTGAAGAGGCGGCGCGGCAGTTCCGTTAGCTCCGTTAGCTTCATGCTAGCTGACAGCGCAGCTGTGGCGTATTTTTTGCGGACTTCCTGTGAAGAGAAAGACCGTGAACCTGTGACAGCAGCTGCAGGAGCCTCCTCTGGATGCAGACAGCGGCGCAGTAAGTTGTTTCCTTCATTTAACCGGCTGTATTCGAGCATTTTTGACTATAAAGTCGTACGTCTTACCGCTGGGTACTTTCACTTTGCTGACTAACCTAGAAAACTTTGAGGGAACCTTCAGAGAACGTTCGATGACGTCATTTTCTGGAAAATTTGACTGGGAAAACCCTTTTTTTTTGCAAACACAAAAGAGCATCTGCTGCTGTGACACATTTAATCCTGATGAGAGTGTGTTTGTTATTGAGTCGTTCATTCAGACAGTTTCAGGATTTACACGCTTTTACTGCACAGTAGGGATGTTTTACTTCCGCATTCTTTAGCAGGTGTGACTTTACCTGAACCTGACTAGAAACACCAGGGGAGCACTAACATTCATAGAATAGTATAGCATAGATATAGTATAGTGTAGTATCGTATAGCATAAATATAGTATAGTGTAGTGTAGTATAGTGTAGTATAGTGTAGTGTAGTGCAGTATAGTAAGGAACAATAGCACTGTGATCACAAGGGTTTAAAAGATTGTTCAGAGTATTAAAGAGGAGCTGAGGTTTATGGCTATTGGCTGTCAGAAGATTAGATAGGAACTGACCTTTAGCAGCTTTAACAGCTTTTTGATATTCCAAAAGACTCTCTATAGCACGTTATAGGTAGTATAGTATAAGTATAGTATAGTATAGCATAGCATAGCATAGCATAGTATAGTATAGTGTAGTATAGTACATTATAGGTGGTATAGTATAAATATAGTGTAGTGTAGTGTCATGCATTGTGACATCCCGTGGTATCGTACATTATAGTGTGAAGCAGTGTGTTATAGAAAAGTACAGTATGGTATACTACATTGTTATGTAGTACACAATACTGTTGTATAGTATATTAAATTCATAAGGCCTACTATTGTATAGTACATTGTAGTGTTGTACAGTATGGACTAGTGTAGTATACTAAATTCTAGTATAGTATAGTATAGTACAGTATTGTATTCTACATTCTAGTATCGTATATTGTAGTATAGTATAATATATAACAGTAAAGTGCAGTATAGTATAGTATGATATGTTCTATTTTGGTATAGCACGGTATACTATGTATACTGCATTCTAATGTAGTACAGTACAGTACAGTACAGTACAGTATGGTAACTGTCCAGTAACACACACAGTCAGCAGATAAAGACAGTTATCAAAGTTTATTTCCGGAGCACCCTTTATAGCACAAAGTTCTGATCAGAGAAAATCTAGATGAGCCGATAAAAACAACAGGAGGAAATAAAGAACAAAGCAACAGTAGATCCTGGATAAATAGAGGAATGGTGATAATTAAAGGAATAAGAAGAAACAGATTAAAAACCGAGATCACAGGACAAAGGCTGGTTCAATGAGATAAGTTGTTTTTTAAAAGCATCCACTGAGACTACATGGTGAAGGTCTGTAGGTAGCTAGGACGGTCCACAGACTTGGAACCTCCTAGTTTAGCGCAGGACGCTACCAGAAGTGACCTGGTGGGTTTTGAAGGGCGGAGCAGGTGTCTGACTGTGCAGCTCTGGATGTAAGAACAAGAATCCTGAGCCTCAGTGGGATAAAGGGACTGACGTCCAGCAGCAGCGTTTGAACCGACTGTAGACGTCTAAAGAGCAGCTGAACACCGGGTTTCATGTTTTCTAATGACTCGTGTCGGTCCGTCCTCCCTCCTTGCAGACATGGCTGTGTTCGAGAACTGCTCGGTGCTCGTGGTGCTGAAAAACGTGCCCTTCAAGGAGAAGCAGCAGCTGAGATCAGCGGTGACGGAGAACGGAGGCCAACTTTCCTTTGTGGTCAATAAGCAGGTGGGAAACTGTGACTCTGGTGTTTTTCTGTGTTTGGAGAGATGTCAGGCGATGAAGCCAAACCACATCGACCGTGTGACTGACAGACAAAGACCACGTTGACAGTGTTTCGCAAAACCACACGAGACAGTTCAAACTCTGACTCGCTGCAAAATGTAGGTCAAAGCGCAGCGTGCAGCCTGATGCGCACAGCGATCCGCGAGCAGCACAAACCGGCCCTGAGCGCGTCGACCCACTCACATTCAATCAGATTTAATTACAGCATTCGTCTCTTTGTTTAAGCGCCACACCTCGTATATCCTCAATTGCAGCCTTGACGATTTGCTAATTGTATTTTTGCAAATTGCAGTTTTAATTTGACACTGATTAGCTGTTCTGATTACAGAATAATTAATGTAGAAGCAGGATGAGTCTCTGTGTTGTCTCACCGCACTGTTCCAGTCACTTATGTTTTACGTGATATTTAATTTAGCATTCTGACAGTTAGCAGAGGACTGACCAGCCTGTGAATGAAAATCTTTATCAGCACCGCTTAGTATTTAAACCAGCAGAGGGTGAAGCTGCAATGATTAACCGTTATTGATTAGTTGTCAACTTCTAAATTAATCCTCGACTCATCTGGTAGGCGATGGATCTTTTTTTTAAAAGATATGTTTGAGACTATTTCAGTACAGTCATTTTATTTTTATATGTCTTATTGAACAAATTAGCCCCAAATAAACCGTAAACTGCACCAAAAAAAAAAAATTACATTCTTAGAAACCACGAGTGATTCAGGTGAACAGTCACATGACTTCAGAGAGATCTGGGTTGAACTGCAGGCAGTGTTTACACAGAGCAAGTATGGGAACAAATTAAAAATGTAAGTCGTAAAATGTCTGTTTTTTCCAAATACTAGACACTCGGGAGAATGTTGTACATGTTGATTCCAGGTTTTTTTTTTTTTTGTTAAATAAATAATCAAGGAAACTCAGTTTATTTTTTATAATTTCAGTCATTCCAGCTGTAACATGGCATGCAAGACATTTCTGAGTTCTGCTTCATGGTTGAAACTGACCAAAACGACAAAAAAATGAATTTGTCTATGACTCAGCAATTGTCATTTCAGTCATTTCAAACTTGTTTAATGTAATTCTGGACAATTTTCTAGTTATTTTGGACAATTTGAGTCAGTTTAGACCAGGGGTGTCCAATCCTGGTCCTCGAGGGCCGCAATCCTGCATGTTTTAGATGTTTCCCTCTTCCAACACACCTGATTCAAATGATCAGCTCATCATCAAGCTCTGCAGAAGTCTGATAACGATCCTGATCATTTAAATCAGGTGTGTTGGAAGAGAGAAACATCTAAAACATGCAGGATTGCAGCCCTTGAGGACCAGATGTCGACACCCCTGGTTTAGACTTTTGTTATTTTGGTCAATACGACCACAAAATGACACAAAGTGAGACAGAAAACAACCAAAAGAAGACACAGACCAAACACAGAGAAACAAAAAGGTACATAGGATGACCAAAACGGGACACAAAATGCTACAAACAAGACACAAATTAGAGACGACGAGAGAGACTGAGAGGAAAATCCAACGAGACATGAGGCCGTGGTTTAGTCAACGAAGCCACCCCGGCTCCGTGGAACCTGCTGCCTCTTACATTACAGACTATGTTTAATCCCGTCCTTCCGTCTGGTGTTTGTTCCCCCCAGTGCTCCCTGGTCGTCACCAACGACGTGTCCAGCCTGAGCTCCAACCGGCTGCGCAGCATCCAGAAGCACCAGATTTCGGTGGTCAGCCCGGACTACGTCTACAGCTGCGTGACGAAGGGAGTTCTGCTGCCGGTGGACGGGTTCCTGCTGGACACTTCCTCGGCTTCGTCGCATCCTCCTCCTCCTCTGGTCACGCCGAGGCAGGACCCACCTCCACGTCCAGGTACTATCCACGGGTTTGATGTTGTCAGATCTTTATGCAGCGCATCTAAAACACATTTACAGCTCCAAAGTGCTTTCAGGTAGAGAGATGTGATTGTTATTATTGTTTTTCTTACAAATTAGCTTAAAAAGTTTCAATATTGAAGTTTATGGAGTCGTTTAAAGGTAAAAGATGAAAACCACCATATAAAATACAACTTTACAGTGTGTATAAATTATGGAGAACTACATTTATAATCATTTAATTTAGAACTAAAGTTGTGACACTAAAAAAAAAATCTACATAGAAATTCCCTGGATTCCCAATGAGAAGCTTTATTTTAATTTTATTTAATTTTATTTTATTTTATTTTATTTTATTATTTAACAGGTAGCAATTGCTTCCACGTAAGCAGATCTTTTTTTTTTTTTTAATTTTGTTTTTAAAAATATTAATAATAGAATAATATTTACTTTATTTATGTAATACCTTTTTAAAATCAAAATTTACTAAGTGTTTTACAGACAGACCAAAAAAGAAAAGGGTTAAATATGGTCAGAGATTTACAAAATAAATCAACACAATAAATATTATTGAATACAAATAAAATTATAAAAGTGCTGAAAATTCCCTGTAAAATTCAAGATTTTTTTTTTTTTAAAGTAGAATTTAGAAAAAAAAAATAGAA